TGGGGGTCTCCAAGCAGCCCCACACACAGTTCATCCCGTCCAGAAGACCCCAAGAAGGTCGAGGCCCACCTTGGGACCCCCAGGATGGGTTTGGACCATCCCCCTGGAGACCTGGATTCCACGGGGACGTCCCACCCCTGGAGAACCACAGCTTGGGGGTCCCTCCCCCAACCAAGGAGCCCCCAGACAGGTCGAGGGTCCCCCCTTGTCCCCCCCCGTGGCCGTACCGGCTGTTGAGGTGGTCCTGGCACGCTCGGACCTCCTCGGAGCTGGGGTGGCCCCCGTCCACCAGCTGCTGCACCACCTGGTTGACGTCCAGGATGCGCCCCATGACGCTGTTCATCTCCTGGTCCAGGCTCTCAAACCTGGGCGGGGGGACACGGGGAAGGACCCCCCAGGGTGAGGAACCACGGGGGTGAGGGATAACGGGGGTGAGGGACCACAGGGGTGAGGGACCATGAAGGGATGAGGGATAACAAGGGATGAGGGACCACCAGGGGTGAGGGACCACCGGGGATGAGGGACAACAAGGGGTGAGGGACCACCGGGGGTGAGGGATAACAAGGGATGAGGGACCACCAGGGGTGAGGGATAACAGGGGATGAGGGACCAACAAGGGATGAGGGACCATGAAGGGATGAGGGACAACAAGGGATGAAGGACCACCAAAAGATGAAGGACCACCAGGGGATGAGGGACCACCAGGGGATGAAGGACCACCAAGGGATGAGGGACCACCAAGGGATGAGGGACAACAAGGGATGAAGGACAACAAGGGATAAGAGACCACCAAGGGATGAGGGACTACCGAGGGATGAAGGACCAACAAGGGATGAGGGACCACCAGGGGATGAGAGACCACCAGGGGATGAAGGACCATCGAGGGATGAAGGACCACCAAAGCATGAAGGACCACCAAGAGATGAAGGACCACCAGGGGATGAGGGACCACCAGGGAATGAGGGACCATGAAGAGATGAGGGACCACCAAGGGATGAAGGACCATCAAGAGATGAAAGACAACAACAAATGAAGGACAACAAGGGATGAAGGACCACCAAGGCATGAAGGACCACCAAGAGATGAAGGACCACCAGGGGATGAGGGACCACTAAGGATAAAGGACCATCAGGGAATGAGGAACCATGAAGGGATGAAGGACCACCAAGGGATGAAGGACGACCGAGGGATGAAAGACAACAACGAATGAGGGACAACAAAGGATGAAGGACCACCAAGGGATGAGGGACAACAAAGAATGAGGGACCACCAAGGGATGAGGGACAACAAGGGATGAAGGACTACCAAGGGATGAAGGACCACCAAGGGACCCAGGTGCTTGTCCCCCCCTTCCATGGTCCGCCAAGGCCTCAGCTTGGCCATTCCATGGTCCATCAAGACCTTGGCTTGACCCTTCTTCCGCGGTCCACCGCGACCTCAGCTTGGCCACTCTGTTGGGTTCTGGAGCCAACCCACCTGTGCTGGACCACCTCGACCTCATCCAGCTCCTCGGGCACCTCCATCTTCTCCAGCCACTGCTCCTTCTCGTCCACCCACACCTCGCAGGCGTGCACCTCGCTGAACATCCTGTAGACGGCCAGCGCGTCCTGCAGCCACTGCGTCCTCAGCACGGCCACCTCGGCCACCTCCCCGTAGAGCTGCTCCACCTCCACCACCCGGATCTGCACGTCCACCCCTTGCCGGTGGTCGGGCGCCAGCAGCGCCAGCTGCTTCCGCAGGGACATCACGGCCACCCGGTGCTTCTCCACCTCCTCCACCACCGCCCGGTGCTTGCGCAGCAGCGCCTGCCGGGCAGAGCAGAGCCTGAGAAGGGTCTGCAGAGCCTGAGAAGGGTCTGCGGCAAAAACGAGGCCCGAGGAGCCGGCCGAGAACGCGTCCCCCCAACGGGGAAGAGAAAGGGAATGA